AGTTAACTTAAATAGTTGTAGAAGTGATACTCATGGGAGCTTACCACATATACTACACAATGGTCTTGAATTAACTTAAATAGTTGTAGTAGTGATACTTATGGGAGCTTACCATATATACTACAAGATGGACTTGAGTTAACTTAAATAGTTGTAGTAGTGATACTTATGGGAGCTTACCACATATACTACACAATGGTCTTCAGTTAACTTAAATAGTTGTAGTAGTGATACTTATGGGAGCTTACGACATATACTACACGATGGTCCTGAGTTAACTTAAATAGTTGTAGTAGTAAAACGTATGGGATCTTACCACATATGCTACACAATGGTCCTGAGTTAACTTAAATAGTTGTAGTAGTGATACTTATGGGAGGTTACCACATATACTACACAATGGTCCTGAGTTAACTTAAATAGTTGTAGTAGTGATACTTATGGGAGCTTACCACATATACTACACGATGGTCCTGAGTTAACTTAAATAGTTGTAGTAGTAATACTTATGGGAGCTTACCACATATACTACACAATGGTCTTGAGTTAACTTAAATAGTTGTAGTAGTAATACTTATGGGAGCTTACCACATATGCTACACAATGGTCTTGAGTTAACTTAAATAGTTGTAGTAGTGATACTTATGGGAGCTTACCACATATACTACACAATGGTCCTCAGTTAACTTAAATAGTTGTAGTAGTGATACTTATGGGAGCTTACAACATATACTACACAATGGTCTTGAGTTAACTTAAAAAGTTGTAGTAGTGGTACTTATGGGAGCTTACCACATATACTACACGATGGTCTTGAGTTAACTTAAATAGTTGTAGTAGTAATACTTCTGGGAGCTTACCACATATACTACACAATGGTCTTGAGTTAACTTAAATAGTTGTAGTAGTGATACTTATGGGAGCTTACCACATATACTACACAATGGTCTTGAGTTAACTTAAATAGTTGTAGTAGTAATACTTAAGGGAGCTTACCACATATACTACACAATGGTCCTGAGTTAACTTAAATAGTTGTAGAAGTGATACTCATGGGAGCTTACCACACTTAACTACACAATGGTCTTGAGTTAACTTAAATAGTTGTAGTAGTGATACTTATGGGAGCGTACGACATATACTACACGATGGTCCTGAGTTAACTTAAATAGTTGTAGTAGTAAAACGTATGGGATCTTACCACATATGCTACACAATGGTCCTGAGTTAACTTAAATAGTTGTAGTAGTGATACTTATGGGAGCTTACCACATATACTACACAATGGTCCTGAGTTAACTTAAATAGTTGTAGTAGTGATACTTATGGGAGCTTACCACATATACTACACGATGGTCCTGAGTTAACTTAAATAGTTGTAGTAGTAATACTTATGGGAGCTTACCACATATACTACACAATGGTCTTGAGTTAACTTAAATAGTTGTAGTAGTAATACTTATGGGAGCTTACCACATATGCTATACAATGGTCTTGAGTTAACTTAAATAGTTGTAGTAGTGATACTTATGGGAGCTTACCACATATACTACACAATGGTCCTTAGTTAACTTAAATAGTTGTAGTAGTGATACTTATGGGAGCTTACAACATATACTACACAATGGTCTTGAGTTAATTTAAAAAGTTGTAGTAGTGAAACTTATGGGAGCTTACCACATATACTACACGATGGTTTTGAGTTAACTTAAATAGTTGTAGTAGTAATACTTCTGGGAGCTTACCACATATACTACACAATGGTCTTGAGTTAACTTAAATAGTTGTAGTAGTGATACTTATGGGAGCTTACCACATATACTACACAATGGTCTTGAGTTAACTTAAATAGTTGTAGTAGTAATACTTAAGGGAGCTTACCACATATACTACACAATGGTCTTGAGATAACTTAAATAGTTGTAGTAGTGATACTGATGGGAGCTTACCACATATACTACACAATGGTCCTGAGTTAACTTAAATAGTTGTAGTAGTGATACTTATGGGAGCTTACCTCATATACTACAGGATGGTCCTGAGTTAACTTAAATAGTTGTAGTAGTGATACTTATGGGAGCTTACCACATATACTACACAATGGTCCTGAGTTAACTTAAATAGTTGTAGTAGTGATACTTATGGGAGCTTACCACATATACTACACAATGGTCTTGAGTTAACTTAAATAGTTGTAGTAGTAATACTTATGGGAGCTTACCACATATGCTACACAATGGTCTTGAGTTAACTTAAATAGTTGTAGTAGTAATACTTATGGGAGCTTACCACATATACTACACGATGGTCCTGAGTTAACTTAAATAGTTGTAGTAGTAATACTTCTGGGAGCTTACCACATATACTACACAATGGTCCTGAGTTAACTTAAATAGTTGTAGTAGTGATACTTATGGGAGCTTACCACATATACTACACGATGGTCTTGAGTTAACTTAAATAGTTGTAGTAGTGATACTGATGGGAGCCTACCACATATACTACTCAATGGTCTTGAGTTAACTTAAATAGTTGTAGTAGTGATACTTATGGGAGCTTACCACATATGCTACACAATGGTCCTGAGTTATATATTCTAGGTGACGCAGTTGTGTATCTTTCTTATTTTATGTTATGTTATATTTGTATTTCTGTAACTGATTAATTGTGAACTTTGCTTTATTAGTGCTTCGTTGAACATGATTACTTGATTATTTAGACTCCCTTACAACACCTTCTTATCAAGAAAAAGGGTTTTATTTTGAAAAGACATCAGAACAATAGTTTAAGTTAGAGACACAATGGATAAGCGTTCATTCATGAAATAGCTTATCCATTGTTTCTATAATACGTATCTACGTCTTCTTTTAACGCGTGGAGCCAATTGCATGGCATACATGTAATCCTCGACTGAATTCATCAGTATTTTGAAGTTGTGTTTCAGTTCGATGGATTTAGGCTCTCGATATTTTGTACCTTTTGATAACATTTTTCGCAGAGAAGTGTTATTCACTATATCTAGGACGCCAGTAATAACATGGCGAGCCGGACTTTATATAAATGTAAATTTAGCACAGGTGCAATCAGGAGGTTTAGACTTGAAGTCGTCAGTATTGAGATCCTACAAAAGATTTTGTAATTGAAAATTCAAACCTTCGTCAAATATGTGAAACGTTTGGCGCTTAAAAATCAAAGGTGTCAACACAAATAAAAAAAAACAAACTATAAAAGTTCTATTTTTGCCTAGGGAAGTTGAAAGTTCTGATGCGTACAAGAAATTTCTTAAAGAAGTACATATCTAAAAATACTAAGCTGCATGTAGTCTTAGGATGGATCCCTAACAGTAGAAGCATCTAGGTAGAAGTAATAACAATGCAACATACATATGTCAAAAGTTAGTGTCATATGAAACTTCAAAATTAAAAAAAAAAAGTTGAACATGTTTTATATACTTTGATGGCTACGTTTTACTATAAAAGAAGTGAACGTGAACATTTTTCTTCAAAGAAAATCCTTAATATCATCAAAATCTTCATAAATGTTCCGATATTGAGTTGATTCCCAGACACTAATTCGCCAATATTGTCCCGTATGCAGTGACCTTAACTACGGGACCTCTGGTTATATCTTCGGCCACCGCACAGCGCAAGTGCGAGGGGAAAACCGTGATGAAAGAATATAAACACACGTGCTCTTGAAGGTAAATAAAAATAATAGATTCTTTAAAACAAATTTAATACTACAAATCATTCAACACTTCTCAAGGAATAATTTAATTAACAAATAGGAACGCATGAAAAATATAAAAACAAATATCATGGCTCTTTCAATTCACTTATTTTTCACGCTTTCCACGTGCTTTGTTTTTATTGTTTATCATTGTCACGATCTGGTAAACTTCGGCAACACACTCGAAAGTTAATTACCTTGCGATCAACAACCACTGAATGAAATATTATTTGTTGATAATACGTTATAGATGTGTAAAAGATATAAAACAAGTGCATGTAAGACTAAGTTAAGTATATATGCATGCATTGTTTCAATAATTTCGATAACATTAAAATTTCAAGAAACTCGTTTCATATGACTTTACGATTAGACATTGCGAAAAACAGTGTTGTCATACCAAAAGAGGTAAACACTAATTGATATCTAATCAAAAATATCTTTTGAAGAATATATGTCAACAAAAAGTCTCGACTTATTTCTCGCGATTTTATTTTCGTTTTGCATGTTACCCCGCTATTATTGACACGTTTGTAAAAAAAAGCACTTAATCGGCTTTTGCTGTTGTACCATATGCCTGTAAACGAAAGAAAAACTAAGTTTATTGTAAAAAGTATTTAATGCAAAAATTTCTTATTTTTAAAAGTTTAAACTACGAATTGATTTAATGAAAGGCTTTTATAAATATTTCCGTTAATCCAATGGATAATACTCGGCAATCTCTATCGGCCAATGTAATTGTCGTTGTTTCTGCACATCGAAATTTCTAATGTTAAGTTGAATCTCGTAAACGCGCAATTTGAATTTTTCAATATAATTATCTTGATGTATTTCACAACATCTCATATTTATACCTGGATTTTGTTCTAATTCAGATATCAGGGATCTCATAAAGTCTTTAGAATTTTGCTTGCTGATGGCAATTATGCCAATACGCGATATTGTTTCGTTATGTCCAGTTACTGGCCTGACCCTATCGGATATTTTCTTCCTACAACCATTAGATTCCCCGTTGTCAGTAACTGGCCTGACCTTATCGGATATTTTCTTCCTACAATCATTAGATATCCTATTGTCAAATCGTTCTTGATGGTTGCAAGTTTCAATAGTAAATTGATACATTCGTTTGGTGTCCCAATGTGTTGGCCGCAGTTCGATATTGTTTGCTATTTCCGCTTGAAGGTCCTTATATTCCCTGCAAAGGAGATAATCCTTGGTTCTTAGACTATTGTCAACTTCCCCCTTAGATTCTACTCCAATTTTATATCTACCTAAAACATTTCCCTTCTTTTTGGCAATTTCAACACACAATAATTCATCTTCAGCCTTCACAATGACTTGCTCTTTTTTCCGAATAGGAAAGGCATTGCAAATTCTTTGTGTTTTAGTAATTATTGTTACATGAATTGTTTTTTTGTCAGCCACTGGGCTAAGCTTTAAATTTTCCGTAGGCAAAATTTTGATAAAGCCATGATCTTTTGGCCATTGCCATTCAGTTTCCTCGTTGGTAAGTACACCTTTCCTCGCATCACAATCTTCATGTTTGATTCCAATACGTTTATCTACGGTCAGTTCTTTATTTCCAATGACCTTGACATATACAATTTCCTTTGATTCATTTAATATGAATACCATAGCTGCATCTGGTGGTTAGTTTTACTCACTGAAATAATGACTTTTGTATAATTGACAAAGCACAAGCAATATATCTGAAAATATTAATCAAGTATTTTGAAGCATATTTATTTAATAAATTAAGTAATCAAGAAATTTACTCATCGTAAAATTTCTGAATTATCATGAAAGCCAGTTCCATATTCTAAAATAACCGAGCATAAAAGCCTTAACTTATTTTTATACCGTATGGCCGGGTTTACAATTGATATTAAAAAGGGAATTCAAATAAATTTCAAGATATAATATAAAAGCCGTCATCAATATATAAACCTCTGTTTAACCTAACTTGTCGTCCTGAAAATCATACAACACTGCTTTGAGACAGGAGCACAACTTAACACATGTTACATCGACGTCACATTGTGCCGGTTGAGGTTAAAACACCGTCACAATGTGTTAGAGGAAGTTACCAATTTGGATTTAATCAAGCGTAAACTGTCCAAAAGAGGGTAAAAGACCAAAATATCAAGACAAACAGATTTTCGCATTTTCTACGTATAGATGTCGTACAATATCAGATCAACAACAAAGCTTCACATTGTTCCTAGTGAATTCTATTTTTGGACATCAATGTACAGAAAACATGATATAAAGATATTCACCATTGCCATAAAAAAAAATATATGTGCACGCCAGGAAGAATCTTTTATAAAGAAAAAAAAATATGTTTAATTCAAAACAGTTTCATGTATTGCACTATCACTCAATATATACTCCATAGATACTTGTTCTATAAATAATCAATACAACAACAAATTAAGGATGTTCGCTACTCTGTTTCAAAATAACAAGACTGTTATAAATTGATGGTATATAAATGAAGGAACTAAAAAAAGCAGAAAAAAATGAAGGGTTTGTTTTCGAGATATAAGCCATTGAACATTTGGCGGGAAATGATTCTCTCTAGATTTTTTGTACATTTAACATTGGCACCTTTTTTCTTTCAAAAACATTGAAAAAAAACAAGGATTTTATAAGATTTTCAAATATGGCTTTTAAAACTATATGTAATAAAATTATGAAAAGAAAAGTAGGGGTTAATGGACAAAATTTCTTAATGGTAAAACATGGGTAAAACCAGAGGATTTCGAATATCTGACAAAATATCAAAAACAAGAGGAGCGAACATCTTTAACATGTATAATTTACTTGTCAATAGAAGTCTTCATATTAATATATGTTCCTGAGAGAATGTTATTGTGACAGTATCTTCGATTTCTCAGTAAATTATGTTTCTGATATGCTGTTATATCATTTAAACTTGTTTAAATCGTTATATGCAGGTAAAAATGAGAAGAGCAGGAAATATGAGTCCTTATTCAACTCAGTTATGCTACAGTATTTGTTTGTTGGCAGATATTTAAAAAGAAAGAAAATGTTGTTTACCTCCAATTGACAGCTATAACAAAAGATGAAATGAAGATGTGAACAACTGCAGGTCACCCTATGGCCTTCAACAATGAACAAAACCCATAAGGTGTACGTGCTTCGGCATTGCATAATGTGAAACAGTTCAACAGAGAAAACCAACGAACCATAGTATACCCCGTCTATAGAAAAGAAAGAATGGTCGAAGATAGCAACGAAAGACAATCATGTTATGTGGGAAATTGTGCATAATCATTCAACCGTCATTTAAAATTTTCAAATTGGACGAAAAAAAAATCTATGAATTATCCTTTGTAATCACAAAACATCTTCACGCAAAAACATTTTCTGGACTAGTTAGGCACACAAAATTCATAGTTCCGAGTTTTATTAAAGTATTTAACAAAGTTATAAAATTGAGATAAAAATATTAATTCATAAACATATTCAACCTGTCCAAGTTTACAGCAGTCTAAAAACACAACTTAAAACCTTAATGTTTAGAATAATTTAACATATAATATTATTGATGATTAATACATAATCAAACTTACCAATATTTGGCTAAAACCTAGCAATTTGGTCTCAGGTGGATAGCATGTCTCCTTGTTTAAAACTTGTAACACATGTTTGATTATATCTTCAACACGAATTCAATAATTGTTTTGATTCAGATATTTAAAATTCTTTTCTTATTTCAAATTGACATGGAACAATCAAACCTACCTTGTTTAATTGTTTAACTGAATGGATCAATATATAAAAATAAAAAAATTCACATTGCAATCAAAATTATAAATCTCTTCTTGGTAAATTGGCTATATGCGATCTATTTTAAGGGTCTTTATAATAGTTTTTTTTTAACAAACCTTTGTATAAGTTTGCTTCATATTTATGTATTGCTGCCAAATAATTATAGATTACTAATAGTTTGATATTGATATTATCTAAGCGCTATGAGTACAATGAGTGCATGATAGGAACACGTGTTTTCTTTGTATTACTAGAAAACCGGAAGATGGTTCGGACCAAACTTATCAACGTCGGTTCATTCATTATGACGTCGGTGATATGTCCGGGTCAAAGTTATTAAGGCAGGGTCAACGTTTTTGACGTGACAAATAAAAAAGAAAATGGAAATGGGGAATATGTCAAAGAAACAACAACCCGACTAAAGAGCAGATAACAGCCGAGGGCTACATGTACCAATGGGTCTTCAATGCAGCGAGAAAATCGAGCACCCGGAGGAAATGATTTCAGCTTCTCAACTTTAACTTTCTATATCTGTTTAGCAATATCAAGGCGTCATATAGATACTTGATACGACAATTAAAACTTTTTATTCCCTGTCATGATTTTCTTTAAAGAGAATTGCTACCAAATGATATTACCGAACAAAGGTTTTATAGTGGTGAATTTGAAGATATTTTACAAAACTTGACTTTTTTGAAATACTGAGGCTTTTCTACTTCAGGAATAGATAACCTTAGCTGTATTTGGCAAAACTTATAGGATGTTTGTTCCTGAATGTTCTTCTCTTTCGTATTTTATGTTGGCCTTTTTAACCTTTTTTTTATTCGAGCGTCACTGATGAGTCTTTTGTAGACGAAACGCGCGTCTGGCGCAAATACAAAATTTCAATCCTTGTATCTATGATGAGTTTATTTACGGATACCATCACGAATTTGATGAATGTTATGAAAAATCAATTTCACAGATGACGACGGATATGTTGAAATTGTAATCCTGTCGAATTAAGACTTATTACCAAGTCTGTGCTTACATGGACAACAATGCTGGCCCCACATGTGGAACATGATCTGTTTTCCCTTCCGGACCATCTGATCTTTCCCTTGTTTTTACTATGGTTCTTTTGCTAAGTATCTAGTTTTCTATGTCTTTTGTTTTGACAACAGGTTGTAAGTTTTTTACTGACGTATGAGCTTGAATTTCTCTTTTGTGTATTCCTTCTCTCTTTTACAATATCCCGACTTTGTAAACAAGTGAAACTCCTAACACAAATACTGCTAAAACATAGTTATTTGGAAGATCGAGTGAAATTGACACCGTCTACATTATTGTTACGGTTACCATCACGAATTGGCTGACCGATACAACGTGCCGGTATCTAAACTCTTGCATGTCTTGTTTTTGCAGTCTTTAATCTTTAGAAACCAGTAAAGTCGTCTGATCCGTAATTTTACGGATTGTTTTCTATTTCTCTCTGTTTAATTTTGACTGAACGAAACGAAAGCAAAAGCACGAAACACAAAAAAGTCCAGGAGTTAGGTTCGAAATGAATGATATCTGAAATATCTCAATAATGAAGTTCTAGTCTTAGATGCATGAGTTTTTTAATAGTTGTTATTGGCTTTGAACTTGTAATCAGTAACTGTCTGAGCATTTTTGTTGTGGAGATGTATAAGTACCCTGCCACGCCCACTTTGTTTTTTTTTTAGATGTATTTCTGCTTTGCATCGATCCGTTGAGTTCAGCCTTTTGCAACTGATTTTTATAGTTTGTTCTTAGCTTGTACTGTTACACAACTGTTCCAGGTTAGGGGAGGGTTTGGGCGCTTTCAAACTAGTTTAACATCGCCACATTCAGTATGTACCTGTACCAAGTCGGGAGCCTGTAATTCAGTGGTTGTCGTTTGTTTCCGTATATTGTATTTGTTATTCGTTCATTATTTTGTACACAAATCAGGCCGTTAGTTTTATCGTTTGTATTGTTTTACATTAATGATGTCATTTCTGGGCCTTTTATAACTGACTAAACGGTATGATTTTATTCATTGTTGAAGGCCATAACGTAACCTATAGTTGTTAATTTCTGTGTCATTTGATCTCTTGTGGAGAGTTGTTCCATTAGCAATCATACCACATCTTCTTATTTTTATATATACTAGTAGAATAAATGACAACTAAATCAGCAGCTTTCATTAAGCAAGGCTAATACTTAGTTAAAGCTTTGATTCTCCTTTGCCATAAAATAAATCTAAAAATGTAAAAAATTTCAAGGACACAAGTTATGACACTTTTTCAATCGATTGATCCCTCCTCCCATCTGTTAATAATAAATCCCGCCTTAAAATAACAAGACAGTTGACAACATAAGTAATTTATATTCAAATTTAATTTAAATAAAAAAACATAAGTCAACATTTGATTTGAATACCGTGAATGATTTCTCATAAAGAAGAAATCGAGCCAATTTAATTATATGAAAAGGGGAGAAAAGTTTTGGGATACCAAGACCTATCGAAGTTCCAACGAAGAGCTTTAAGCATAATCAAAATATAGCAGTATAGAAAATAGAAAAGAAAATCAACGATACGTTAACCTAATGACATGTTTGGTAATGGTGGTCTCTTTTGATCCTTCGTTTTTGTTTTCGGTACATTTTTTGCATTATACCGTACTCAATTTCCACAGATTGATTTTGTTGTTTAAGATTCCCTTTTTTTGAATATTGTGGATATAGTTCTGCTTGAGGAAACTTATTTTTCTTCTCAATGTGATAATTGTTTACCTTCACACTATTGT